GGAGTAGAAGGCTCCATCTTTCTCTCCACAGATTGGGAAACACATAAAACTGCCTTTGTTTGTAAGTGCCATGATTCTCTAGATAGAAAGTCTCAAAGATCTCACCAAAAAACCCAACCAAATGAAAAGCCCTCCCGGGATTAATAAACAATTATAGCAAGGTTGTAGGCTACGATGTTAATAAACAAAAGTCAATTGCTTTCCTCATACCAGTAATAAACAACTGTAATTGGAAATAAAAGGCACAGCACCATTTACATGGTTATAAATGGGAACCACTGAGTTGATTTCCATTCGGAGATTCTGTGTGACCGAGCAGAACTGCCCATAGGGTCTTACTGGCTGTAATCTGCCAGATCTTTCTCCTCCTGTGATTGGGTTTAAATTTGCAGTTAGCAGCCAAGTGCTTCACCATTGTGCCACTAGGGCTCGTCATTCACATTTAGTCACACACACACACACACACACCCCCAATGAAAAAGGCATGAATCTAATAGAACTTGTAGAAGGTCTGTAAGAGGAAACTAAAGAATTTTGATGAAAGAAATCAGAGAAGACATAAATGGATATACTCTAGTTCGTGGTTCATGGTAAATAAGACTCGATATCAAGGTGCCAGTTCTTCCCAACTTGCTGTACAGGATCAATGCAACCCCAAACAAAATCCCAGCAAGTTATTTTGTGGGTAACAACAAATGGATTCTAACGTTTACATGGAAAGGCAAAAGGCCTATAATAGTCAACACCACACTGAAGAAGAACAAGGCACTGCTTGACTGACTCTAAGACTTAAGATAAAAGCTATAATGACCAAGACAGTGTGGTATAGGCAAAGGAATAGATAAATGTATCAGTGGGGTAGAATATATCCCAGACAAAGACCTACACAAATATAATCAACTCATCTTTGAATATGTCATTAGGAAATTGCAAATTAGAACAATGAGATACTATTGCCTACCGACTCATGATGCTCCCATGTACCATGGAATACCACACTGGTTTTGCCACCCCCATGATTGATTAAGGGCCGGATTGTTGTGATCCACAAGGTTTTCATTGGCTAATTTTTGGAAAGCGACTGAGAAGCCTTTCTTCCTAGTCTGTCTAAATCTGCAAGCTCCATTCTGTTTAACACTGCAGCAACATGAAAACTTCCACTGTAAAGTGGTTGATGGCTGTGTGGTAGTTACATAATCTGTTGTCAATTTGAGAGTCTTAGGAGTGAAGGGGTGGAGTTAAGCCTGTCAATCAGGTCGCAGTTTGATGACCTCATGTGGGGGTGCTAAGGAAATAAATAACTTGCTGGAGGCAGGACACACACTCAGTTCTTGCGAGACACTCTTATGGGATGGCAGCCAGAGCCTGGGAGCTGGAGAAGCCACGTGGAGATCCTGCCGGCCCTGAGATGCTGGATCCACAACATCCAGCCACTGGATCCACAAGACTTTCTACCCACTGGCCTGTGATTGTCCTGCATTCGGCACCATTGCATGTGTTTTGTGAGTCTGAAGAGGAATTTATAGATTGGTTTTGGACATATGGGCTATTACTGGACTTAGGGATTTGATCTGGACTGGGCTGGGATGTTTTCTCAATATTCAATTGCTCTTGTATATAAAGCTCTTTCTTAGACACATAAGAGTGTCTATGAATTTGTTTCTCTAGTCTACCCATACCAATGCACCTAAAGTCACAGTGCATTGTCTGGGAAATGAACCTGGGCCCCAACATGGAAAGGGACAGTTATATCACCGAACACCAATGTAGCTAAACTGTATTAGAATGGCTGAAATCCAAAATACTCACAATGCCATATGCTGGTGATATTGCAGAGCAACAGAAGTTCTCACTTATTGCTGATGAGAATGCAAAAAAAATCCCAATATAGCCGCTTTGAAAAGCAGTTTGGCAGTTTATTACCAAGTGACACATACCTTGCTCACTCACTGCCACCGAGTTGATGACTCACAGGTACCCGATAGGACAGGGTAGAACTATCAGTGTGAGTTTCCAAGATTGTACCTGTTTATAGTAGGAAGCCTCATCTTTCTACCAGGGATCGGCTGGCAGTTTTGAACTGTGAAACTTACAGACAGAAGTCATAACCACTACACTACCAGGCTTTGCATATGACCTAGCAATCATGCTCCCAGGTACTTCCCTAAATGAGTGGAAAACTGATGTCTACTCCAAAACCTGTCCAGATATTTACAGCAGTTGTATAGCTATCTTCTATGCTACCAGTGCTCCATAACTTTATTATTACTTGCCAAAAATTGTGACCTAACCAAGATGTCTTTCAGTAGGTGAATGGATATATGATATATCCATTCAGTGGAATAGTATTCAGCAATAAAAATAAAATGCCTTATCAAGCCATTAAAAGACTTGAGGCCCCTTACATGTATACTGTTAAGAAGAAGTTTTTAAAAAGCTATCTATAAATATGAAACTAACTATATGACGGTTTGGAAAGGACAAATCTATAACAGCCACGAGTTCGGGGGGAGGGATAGAGCAATGGAAAGGGAGAACACAGAGCATTTTTAGGTGGCGAAGCTATTCTCTATGTACTCAAATGGTGGCTACATCTGTATTTGTCAAAACTTATGGGACTGTACAATACAAAGACTGAAGTATAAACCATGGAGTCAAGTTAATAATAAGATTATCAAAAGCGGTTCCTCAATGATAATTGTACCACACTATTATTGCAATATATTAATAATAGAAATTGTGTACAGTGGGAGAGACAGTATTGGGAACTCTAATTTCTATGTGAGTTTTCAACAAATATGAAACTGTTCTAAGATATAAAATTCATTAATAATAAGGCCTCAAAGATAAAGACTTTTAAATATACGACATGGTAATAGTATTATTTATTATACGACATGGTAATAGTATTATTTATACGAACAATTTTGAGTTAAATTCCTCCCACCTTGTGAGATTTTTTTTTTTTTCCTTGTGAGATTTTTACCCCTACCTTTTAAAGGTCTCAGAATTACTACTATCTTAGTGGCAATGCCCAGGGGTGCAGAGGAAACCTATCCCTGCTTTGAGATTTGGGGATATGACTTAACATTCCTGAGTGTGACTTCCCTGTAGAAGGACAATACTAGTACCTTCATTACATATCAAAGAAATCTTTCATGAAGACATGAGAATGTATGCCTTGGCATACAAGTGAATGATATTACAGCTCATGGGGTATATATGCAACACTAATAAGAAAATGGAACAACGCATATTAAAGCACATAAGTTATTCTATTGCAAGCATACCTAATCATGGAAGTACAAGGAATTATCACTACACAGGCATTGGTATTACCCACCTCCTCCATGAGATTGCACCCTCTGTCCCAGTGATGTGGCAATTCCATGCTGCCTGTGGCATCTTTCTTATCATCTGGTACTGTTATCTGTGCACTTTTTTTTTTTTAAGTTGGTGCCAGCCCTATCTCAACCAGAACACAGACTACAGAGTGGGAGTAACAAGAGAGTGGTGGTTATCAGGCAAGAGCAGAGACAATTTGGAGGCAGATTGAGTGGGGTGCTCTGGACACTGGAGGGGCTCACTTGAGCTCACTTTGCTTTGGGAAACTACCTCTGGGGGCCCTGAGCAGTGGATTGGTGAGGGGGCACATTGGGGGCCAAGAGGGCAGTTAGAAGGCGATTGTGGCCCAGGTGAGGTAGAAGGGAAATATGAGAAATGCACAATAGGCAGGCTTGCCTTTTACTTGACTATGGATAATAGACAGAAGTTCAAAGTGCTTCCTAGGTACTTAGTGTCTGAAGTAGGAAAGACAACTGATGATGGATTTGTTTTCGGTAGGAGCGGAGAAGATAAAGGTGGACACTAAAAGTACTGGTCCTGTTTCTCTGTATCAGTCACTACATGATACCAACTGCAAACGTGATTTGTTTCCTCTCTTCTTCAAGGCCATAGGTTTTGAATTTAAGAAATATATATATATGATTCTATACTAGCCTCATAGTTTACTAGCAGAGCAACACACGCATACGCTTTCAGACATGGTCTCCTAGCTAAGCATTTAATAAATAACGGTGAATAGGCCTGATAGCAGTGCTTTTGGCTTTTTCTTTTGGTGACTACAAATAATAGCACTTCTTAGGTTTATTTCTGCTTATTATATCTCAACAGGTGTTTGAAACATATTTTAGGGGGACCCACCCCCGCAAAAAAACCCCTCCAACCTGGTGCTCAGAGATCATTGGCATGTCAATGGGTAGTTTAGTTTCTCTAGGGCAGGAAGTCCTTGCAGCCTACAATCCCTGCCATGCCAGAGACAAATGACTGAAAGCAGAGAACAGGTTAGAGCTAAGTAACCCAATAACTCCTACTTAAAAATAAAAACTATGCTTTTGTTCTTTATTTCCGCGGTGAAGCAGGTGACCAAGAAGCTGGGTAGCTTGTAATTATGAGTAAATTGAGCACAGAAGTGAGAAAATGAAGGCGCTTCCCCAAACTCAATTCCCAGCCTCAGGACCAGACCCTGTTGCCCTCTCCTCTCGTTCTGAAGTTTTCAAGGAGCAAAAAGCAGGCCGAGGTGATGTGTCCTGGGATCCGGCCCACAGGTGCAGGGGGTGGCTGCTAAAAAGGCGCGCTGCGCGTGCTCGAGACGTGAGCAGCGCTGAGCAGCTGCCCCGCGGGGCTGCCTGAGGTCGGGTCCGGAGGCCCGATCCTCTCCCACGTCCCTTCGTGGAGCGTCCACGGAAGCGCAGCAGGCGGGCAGACCCGGCCGGGCGCTCTGGGAGGCGGCGACGCGCGTGCGCACATCCGGGGTCACGCGCAGCGCGGGGCGTGGCGCGGCGCGGAGGGGCGTGGCGCGGCGCGGAGGGGCGTGGCGCGGCGCGGAGGGGCGTGGCGTGGCGCCCGAGGGGCTGTCATTCCGGCGCGGCCGCCGCCCTCGCCTGCGTGCGGCTGTTCCGGCTCCTCCCTCTCAGGGGCTGCTTCTCCCCCGCACCGACGATGGTGCTGGAGTCGGTGGTCGCCGACCTGCTGAACCGCTTCCTGGGCGACTATGTGGAGAACCTGAACAAGTCTCAGCTGAAGCTGGGCATTTGGGGCGGTAAGCGAGGGGCGCGGCCGGCGTGCTGCCGGGGCGGAGGGCCGGACGCCGCGGGCTCCTCCCCGGGCCGGGCGCCCCGAGCCTCCCGAGACTCCGCCTCCGGGGGGGTCCCGGGAGCGCCTCCAGGTGCGCCAGGTGTGGGGGCGCCCGGAGGCGGCCGAGCACCCCGAGCCCGGGATCCCCACCCCGGGGGGGGGCGCGGGGGAGGGGCAGGCGGCCGCGCTTCTCCAGTCACGCAGGCCCAGCACCTGCCCCGCCTCGCTCGGCCGTCTCCGGGTCCTCGGTCGCGACCCCTCGGGCTCCCCGCGTCAAAAACGCGAACAGACGCCTTTGTACACGCAGTTCTCGTCCGTTCGTGCAGACCTGACCCCCGCGGCGCGCGACCGCGTGTCCTTCGGGACGGGTCTCGCAGAGAGTGGCCTCGGGGGAGGGCGAGGCACTGGAGGTTTGGGGCGATCCAGCATTTTCCTGCGAGCACGAACGGCCCTCGCCCTAGGCTTGCCCAGCGCGGGGAGGGAGAAGGAGGGGGTCGTGAAGGTGTGCCAGCAGCTGTCAGGTGGGCAGCCAGCCCTGGTGGCGCAGTGGTTAAGCGCCCGGTGCTGCCTGCAAGGGATGCTGTTCAAGCCCAGGAGCTGACAGCCCCCGGAAAGGTCAGTTGTCCCTTGTCCGGAAAGGTCCCCGAGTCCTAATGGACTCGGGGGCAGTGAGGTTGGTTTATTTTGGTTCCCTTCAGTATTAGGGATTCTGAAGAAGACCGGAAAGCGTGGAACTTCCCCCTCCGTGTGAAGACAGCTTCCGTTTTGTTTTGGAGGGGTGGAGAGAAAGCCCATTGACTACCCGCGCCGCCCTTAAGGAGGTTGTGTGTCCCCAGGAGAGTTACTCAAGCATTTTCATCCCTGAGGCTTCGTCTGTAAAAACAGTCTGCTGCACACGCGCTTCAAAAAGCTGAATTAGATGCACGAAAAAAGCTGAATTAGATGCACGAATTAGACCACACGGAGCCCTGGGGGCTCTGTGGGTGAGGCGTTGGGCAGTTACCCGGAAGATCAGTGGTTCGGCCTCTGGGAGGAACATGAGGCCCCTTAAGAATCGAATGTCTCTGAAACCCTATGTGTTGTCGCTGGATGACAGTGAGAATTGTCCTTTAAACGTGGGAGCTGCTGGGGATGCTTTTTTGACCAAAGTATGTGGGGGTCGGGCAGGAGTTGGGTGGTTAGCTTTGGAGGGAAATCGAAAGTATTCAAGTGAATGGAACTGCTTTGAATTCAGGCAACAAATAGCTATCCACAGGCCCTCTAGATTTCCGCTGTGACGATTAGGCCAGCCATTTACCTCCTTGGGCCTTAGTGCCTTCATTTGAAATTCATCTTCATAAGCCAGAAATAATAGAAATGTAATAGAAATCATTATTAAATGCTTACTCAGTCTGGCATCGAGTCAGTGCCGACTTAAAGCAGCGCTCTAGGACCCGGTGGAACTTCTTCCCCTTTGGTTTCCTAGACTCTTAACTCTTTCTGGGAGTAGAAAGCCCAGACTTCCTCTTGCGAAGTGGCTGTTGGTTTCAAATTGCTGACCTTGTGGTTCACTGCCCAACATGTAACCATTACACCACCAGGGCTCTAGGAACTTAAAAAGTCTAATAGAGTAATACTTGTATAATATTCCGTGGGACCACTACCCAGATTTCAGTGTTACACTTACCTTAGGATTCCGCACCCCCTTATACTATGTGTGTATAAATAGTCAAAGATCCCTTCCCTGCCAAATCTCATTCTCCTTTTCTCCATCTATAAAGTTAGGGACTGGACTAGGGAAGATCTAGGGGGTCCTCTTAATACCAAACTCTGTGGTTCTAGCTGTGAATATTTTTCCTATGGCATTTTGAACTCATTCACAGGGCAGTCTGACCCTACCCTACAGTGTGTGCGTGAGTCAGAATAGACTTCATGGCAGCGAGTTTAGATTTTTTGAAATTTTTGTTAATGCAGTGGAACTGGACACCTGGTGTGCGTTGTGGGGTGTGGGCTAATAATGGCAAGATCAACAGTTCAAAACCACCAAGCTGCTGTGTTGGAGAAAGATGAGTTTTTCTACTCCTATAAAGAGTTACTGCCTCGGAAACCTGCAGGGGCATTTGTATCCTGTTAGAGGGTCGCTGTGAGTTGGAATTGATTCAGTAGCAGCGAGTTTGGTTTTTGGTTGAAAGGCAGAGAATTTCAACTGAGGGAGATTCTTCCCCATTCCTCCTTCCCCCAGGAACATTTGGCAATGTCTGGACAACTTTGAGAGGTTGCTCCTGGCATCTAAGGAGTAGAGGCCAAGGTGCTCTTAAACAACCTTCTATGCACAGAGCAATCCCCACCTCCTTACCCCGTAAAAATGATGAGGCTCAAAATATTAGTTAAGAAGCTGTGGAGAATACTGAGAATGGCTTTTGCATTTATAGGAAACCTACTTCATGCTGATTAAGACGTATGTTGTTGGTAGGTACTGTCCAGTCTGTTTCTGATTCATGCTACCCGTATGACAGAGTAGAACTGCATACAGTTTTCTAGGCTGGACTCCTAGGCAGGTCTATTTCCCACAGAACTGGGTGGGTTCAAACCACCAACCCTTTGTGTTGCAATTGGGTGTTTAAAGGTTTTACCACTAAAGCTGTAGTAAGGAATAACAAAGGACTTAAAGTAAATGTGTTGCACCTATGAAATTTATAATTTAATAGAGAAACACAATAATTTAAGGAGTGCATGAAAGGGAATATGCCAGTAAAACTGTATAAGCTATTCTTGTATGCGCTCAGGATGGAGATTTAGAATAAGATATTGTGTTAACATAATTTGAAAGAGCTTGCACTATGTGTAGACTCAAGGAGCCCTGGTTGGGCTGTCAGGTGAGCTTTAGGTTGCTAATAGACAGGTCAGCACTTAAAACTCACTATCCACCTGCAGGAGACAGAAGCGGCTATATGCTCCTGTAAAGATTTACATACTCTCTTCAGGGTTGTTATGAGTCTGAATTACCTCGATGGCAGTGGAGTATGCATATCCTCATGCATCCTGGTATTCACAGTGCAGGCCACAGGAACAACAACTATGGATGAGGGAGATAGAATTATTGGAACGACTTGATTCAGGAAGTGTATTGTGGATATTACCTTTATTTTATTTATTTTTTAAGAGAACCTTTATTACATTTCAAATGGGATTAGAATGAGATAAAGACAAAGATGTGTTATCCAGATAATGGAAACCATTAGAATAAGGTCTTAATGGTACCCAAGGGTTTGCTGATGTACAGAGCTTTAAAAGGGACATGAAAATAGTAGCAAAAACATAGTTACCACCCCAAACCTAATTATAAACAAACTCGAGTACTATGAAATATGCATCACTAAAAAACAAGGACAGTTCTCTTAAACACCACAAAATGGATAAAGCTAGACAGCATTATGCTTAGCAAACTCAGTTGTACAAAGATAAATATTTAATAGCACTGTTTGTATAAGGGAAAACAAAGGACAAGAAGCCTGGCTTGCATACTAATAGACTAGACTTTGATGACTGTGAGGAGGCTAGGGCAGAGTTGGGATCAGGAAGGGAGGGACAGGTTATTGAAGGATGGTGGGGGAAAAACCACATTTATGGAGGATATAATGGGGTATTTGTTATTGATTTCATTGCTTGAGATGGGCTGTGCAAATGTATATTGTACGTTTCTTTAAAAACTGAACAGATCCCTCAAACTTAAATAGTGGTCTGAGTGACTTAAAAAAAAGAAAAAGAAGAGGAAAAAACAATTAAATGGACTTGGAGTCTTCAATGACAAACAAATTAATCTCAAATAAACAAAAATAAGTAAAAGGGACATGAGAAGTCAAGGGAACTTGTTATAAAGGCATGGATGGTGGCAATACATCGTAGTTCTGTACGTTGTAGAGCTTACAAGATTGGTCCAGGGTCCTCCCTAAGGCAGTCAAGGCATGACTTGTAACTGTGGAATGCCCCATAGGGATATCTCCATTAAGGACACACCAGGGTACGTGCCCAAGGGAGACTGTCCGTACTCCTCCCCTTGCGCGCGCCCCTCCAACTGGTAAGGTAGTGTAGGTAATGCCCTTTCCGATACGCTCTGTCTGAGGAACAAGGCTATTCAGGTCCCTGCTAATCCACATGGGAATTTGAAAATGGATTTAGGGACTTTTAAAATGGATTTAGGGCTCTTACTGTCTTCCCTAGCCTCCTTCTGCAAATGGGTGCTCATAATTTGTCCTTCCTTTTATCATGGATTTTATTTATAATCGTTGGATCACACTGGCGTGTAAATGATAAGTCCTGTGTGGACTTAGAACTGACACCTCACGGAGATGGCTGCTCATGTTAAGAAAGCCTTTAAGGTTCCAGCCACTATTTTTCCTGATAGGAACGCACCATCGAATTTCTATGCCACACTTTGCTGTATCCTCTGTGATCTCTTCAGGACAATTAGGGCCTCATTATAAGAGCGAATGTGTTTAGATTAGGGTGTATGATTAAGTGTGAGCTCAAAATCCATTCGCATATCTAAGCTTTATACTTTCCCTGGTCAACATTAGAGGGAGCTTTATGAGTTTCTGAGAGAGAATATATATAAATAACCTCCATGGGATCGTTGGAAATTCTAATTTCAATCCAGCCAATGGCATAGAATTTAAAATACTACTGAGAAAAGGAAAGTAAACATTGATTGGAAAGCTTTTTAGTCTAAAATATCTGGAATGTTCACTTATACAGATTAAAATGTAAGCGAATGGACTCTGTTTAAGAAACCAATGAGACAAAAGGCAATAATTTCAATAACATGTATTCAGAACTATACAGAACCTATGTCGCAAAAGGTAAAGACCATGTGAAAAGAGCAAATACATGGTAGTATTAACTTGTCAATTATTGGGCAACCTCAAAAACAAGAGGTTTGAGCCAGAGTCCAGTGACTTCCAATTCCGTGACTTTGAGATAGCAGAC